CGCGGTCCGCCCCGCCTCGCCTCGGCTCGGCTCGCAAGCTGCAGAGAGGCTCCCGGCGCACCGCGTTTAAAAGAGCAGGGGCACAGGGTCCCCTCCCGTCCCGCCCCGCCGTGCCGGGGCTCGGGGAAGCGCTCGGTTTCGTTTTCCTTTCTCGCAGAAGGGAAACTTGGCACCGAGAGGCGGGCGCTCGCTCACTGGTTTGCTTCTCCCTCCCCCGTCCCCCTCCCCGCTTCTCGGCCCTGGAGGGTCACCGCGAAACCCGTCGGCTGCCCGGGGTTGGTATCTGGCTCGAGCACCTCCAGGCTTGAGCACATATAGCACCTGAGGACCCCTTTTGATGAGTGTGGGTTCAGTGCCTTTAGCTCTTCTGGTCAAACCATTGTGACTCGTGAAGCAGGGGGAAAGCTGAGCTTGTGTGACTGTGCCGCATCCTTCTCAGAGACAGCCATGAGCTCCTGTAAGTTTAAGCAGGTTTGCATTGCAGACCACTCCAGGTTAGGGGGCCTGATCCATGAAAAGGAAATGCTTGAAGGTTCTTAAATTCTTGGTCTCCAATACTGCCTAAAGCACCTCAAGCAAAGCAACTCCACCAAGTTGAATATAAGGTTAGCCTTAATAGCAGGAAAAGTTGGCAGTTGCCTGAGGTGACACAGAATCACAGAATGGTCAGGGTTGGAAGGGACCTCTCAGATCATCTAGTCCAACCTCCCCACCAGAGCAGGGTCACTTACAACAGGGTGCACAAGATCGCATCCAGGCGGGTTTTGAATGTCTCCAGGGTGGGAGACTCCACAACCTCTCTGGGCAGCCTGTGCCAGTGCTCTGCCACCCTCAAAGTAAAGAAGTTCCTCCTCATGTTAAGATGGAACTTCCTATGTTCAAGCTTGTGCCCGTTACCCCTCGTCCTATCACTGGGCACCACTGAAAAAAGACTACTCCCATCCCCCTGGCACCCTCCCTTTAAGTATTTGTAAGTATTAATAAGATCCCCCCTCAATCTTATTTTCTGTAGACTAAAGAGACCCAAGTCCCTCAGCCTTTCCTCATATGAGAGACGTTCCAGTCCCCTAATCATCTTTGTAGCCCTTTGCTGGACCCTCTCCAGCAGTTCCCTGTCTTTCTTGAACTGGGGAGCCCAGAACTGGACACAGTACTCCAGATTGCATCTGCCACACCAGGGCAGGGTAGAGGGGGAGGATGACCTCCCTCGACCTGCTGGCCACACTCTTCTTGATGCACTCCAGGATGCCGTTCGCCTTCTTGGCCACCAAGGCACATTGCTGACTCATGGTCATCCTGTTGTCCACCAGGACTCCCAGGTCCCTTTCCAGAGGGCTCCGCTCCAGGAGGTCAGCCCCCAACCTGTACTGATGCATGGGGTTATTCCTCCCCAGATGCAGTACCCTACACTTGCCCACACATTGGTGGGGCAGATGGCAGCCCCCTCATGATAACACCAGGAGAGACTGGGACCAAGCTGCCAATTCCCAAATTCCTCAATTCCTTGGTGACACAACAGCTATTGCTGGAGAGGAGCACTTCCACCATAGCACCAGTTGCTATCTGCAGTCCTCTGGTGTGTCTAGACACACCAAGAAGTCCTCCACAGCTTTTCAGCGCCACAATGCCTTCAGTCAGTCTGTCCTCATTCTTGCACGGGCAGTTGAGTGTCACCACTGCTGCCAAAGTACAGAGCCATACTCAAATCTCAAAACCTACCAACTGCCTGTTGGCTATGGTAGGCTTAAATTGGATCTTCACTCACTTCCATTGATCTGCCAGAACTGCTAAGGTAGCAGGACAGTCTTGCTCTTATGTTGACTTCTTTCTTTTTTTCCTTTTGAAAAAGGGGTAGGAGAATGAGCGTCATCCTGTTTGCAAATTTTAACGGGAAACAAAACCTGCTTGTGAATAAAAAAAAAAAGGTTTCTTTTATGTTAATTAGCACTGTCATTTGCTATCCGTAAATTCCCATCACCTTTCCTTCACTTTCCTGGAAATGATCTACTGGCTCAGTAATGGCTGGATCAGTGAATAATGGGGCTTCAGGTTTTCCCCTTCAGGCAGTATTTATTGTTATCTCTAACAGCTGTTTCTTGCTGGAACAGATTCATACCAGTAGGGCAGGATGGCAGAATTCTTGCTGTGCCTAGCCCCAGTAATGCCACCTCACAAATCTATTGCTTCAGCATGACGGGAAACATCTCAGTTCATGAGGCTTTCCAAAATTGTCTCAGAGCTTGTCAGCAGAGATTATTGAAATAATTATTCAGGGAGTTACCATGGGAGGAACTACCCATGTGCCCTTCCAGTTCCTTGAGTATTTTAAGCCTTATGCCTGGCTGCAAGCCATAGTGTTGCTCTTCCCCACAATTCCTCATCCGCGGTCCTTCACCCCGCACATCCCTCTTACCTGTGGCATTCCTTCAGGAGGAAGACAAGACAGTGCAAGTTTAGACTGAAACCTGACATTGAAGTTGCTCCTTGGTTGTTTCAGTGTTTCAATTAATTTGGAGAAGTCTGATGTGCTCTCTTTCCTCCCTTCTGTTTCATGTTAGGAACTCTATCCCATTTCATATCTTCTCTGCCCCCAATTCGAATTCCTTTCTCGCCTCATTTCTACTTTTGTTCACGTCAAGGTGAGCCCATGCAGATAAAGGGAGTACAGCCTCTCTCCCTCCTTTGAGCTGCAAAACTTTCACAAAGAACACTTGTGATAAGCACAAGATCTTAAAGACAATCACAAGACTTCAAATTGTGCATCTCAAGAAATATTCTGTCACGTGTGTGCGTATACATATATATACACATGTGTGTATGCCACCAAGCTCACAATCTCTGCATATAGCTTTGCATAGAGATCTTACTGCAGGTGATAAATAATCGTTTAGCTCACCTTGTCTCAGAAGCTTCCCGGACCTTCTGAACATCTGGGCACCGCAGAAGGTCTACCGAGGCTGGCAGAGTGATCTAGACCTATTGCAGCCTCAGCCCTGAGCTCATCGCTTAGTGCCTCAGCTGGATAGGAAAATTCGGTTCAAAATACTTAATTTCCAAAATCAGTTAAAAATTCTTGATTATTACCAATTTCTCTCAACACAAGACTTAACATGCGATACACAAACACTCCAAGAGCATGTCGGAAGTGTTGCTCAGTGACTCAGTAAACTAAAACTTTACGGTTTTTGAACTGTTTTTCTGTGAAAGGGAAGGTCTCTGTTTCAAGGAGCAAAACATCTTAGAGAACGTAACACTCAAGGTTACTCAAGACTTCCTGTTCTCTGAAATTTTATCTATGCTTTCTTAGAAAATGACAATTATAAAAGCTCTACTTTTTGCCCCCACTAAGTATGTTTTCAGACAACACTCTCTGCATTACTGTAAAGCCCCACAAAGTAAACCCAGACTGGGATGCGCCCCCTACAGATGTACAAGTCCTAGCAGCAACAAGACAGACATTCATATTTTAATTCCCAAACTGTTCTAACTCACGTGCTCTATGGTGAGGCCCACAAGAAAACACAAATGTTCATTTTTATATGGTAGCTTTGAATCTACAAGAAATGTTGCAATCAAGAACTGTAATGAAATTTTCTGTGCCGGAACCATCTAGAAGAGGCTCAGAAAAACATGATGTTCTCTAAAAGCCGTAGGAAGTCCGATTCCTTCCTTTTCTTTCCCATAGAATTAATCTTACAGTGGCACGATGGAGTTCCAATACTAAAATATTTCAGTTCTGCAAACCTTTTAAAGACAAATATAATTTTTCAAAAATTATTGAATAACAGAATTAATGGTGCACTGGATCTTACATAGGTACATTAATTAGCATGGAAGAATCCAACTGGGTAAACATAGATAATGCTGTTGTGCTCCCTAGTTGCTAGGAAAAGCAAAACTTTAAACAATGGTATATTATTTATCCAAATGATGTACTTTGTTTATTTAAATAAAGAGATTGCTTTCTCCAGTGTGGCTAGTTGGCAGTTCCAGTCAAACAGTATCTTGCTAGGGAAAGCAAATTACTGACATGAACTAATAAAACAAATAAGGTTAAAGGAGGAGCTGTTATCACATCACCTGTGAGGACCAGAAATGGTCCAAGAATAACCACGCAAGTCACACAATGGCAGATGTAGTTTTTAGTGTTTGACAAATGTATTACTTCTTGCTCCACTCGCAGCTGGAAATGACCTCTCCCCCATTGCACCTGCAGCACCATAAATGGGATTGTGTCAAGGACTTTGTACTTGTACTCATCCCTCCTCGGAATGCATGAATCCAAGGGCTGCCACTGAAATTGCCAAATAGAAAGTTAAAACCCACAGGCAATCAAGTTACGAAAGACAGAATATATACACAGATTAGGCACATTTGAAAGAAGTCCACCATGGGCCCTTAATGGTGTGTATGTGAACTCCAGCTTAGGAAGTATTTGAACACATGACTCCTAGAATCTGGGACAAGATGTTGGGAGAAGGATCCTTCTGTGTTCTTTCCATACTGTTCTCCAAGTATCTGGCACTGGCCACTCTCATGAGCAGAACAGGAGGGTCTGTGGCCTGACACTACTAATTTGTGTGTTCTTATGATCTTATCCCCAGATATTTGTCTTTACTGGAGCGCCCTTTACTGGTGCCCTTTAACATTTATTCAGTATGAAAACAGCTGTATTCTATTTGTGTTTATTTTAGGTACCTATGCATTTTATGGGCCTTCAACTTCCCTAATTCCTGCCTTGTGTCTCAGACAGCTGTTTATCTACATTACAGGACTGTGCACTTAGATATATTTTTAAAGTTACAGGTTGATTAATTTCCAGGTTTTTTTCAGCTTTTTCCACTTTGAATTGATCAAAACATTTTTGAATGGTCATACCGCTTCTTGTTGTGTTTGGGTCTCTTCCCTACAGCTACGTACAAGCACAGTGGGCCCTCAAAGGTGTGAAGAGGCTCCAGAACAGTGTTTTACACATAATTAGCACATTTGCTCGACATCGTTTCATATTATATAGAAGGTAAAATGATAATGGTCCTCGTGAAGAAACAGAAAAATACTTACCATAAGCTAATTTCAAAACAGATTCGTACTCTCTGCACTGATTTTAAATACAAAGACCCGTCTTGGACATAAAAGGCAACTGTTCCTATATTTTTAACTGAACTGTGTGTATAGTCTGATGGGAAAGACCTAAAATCTTGCAAGAAGATAATTTTAAGTAATTAGCCAGGACAGACATCACATGCCTGTTATAAATGATCTCATAAGCATATTACAAATGAGGAAAGAAACACCACCAGCTTGATTCACAAGGAATGCTTGTAAACAAGCATATATCAAAGCTGTGGGAGGGGAAAAAGAAAAACGAAAGTAAGCTCTTCCCATTGAATCAGCAGGGAGGGGAAAGGCAACAGTGGCATCAGAAAAACAGAAAAGCAAGGAGCCAGACAAGTCAGTGAGGAACACAGCCAGCTTTTCAAGCTCTTCTGAAGTGAAACTTGGCTGCAAGTCAATTGGACTTCAAAAAAATGAATACACAGAAAAGTGGCAGATAAGGTTCAGTGTAGATAAAGGTAAGGCAATGCACGAAGGAAAGAACAATCAAAACTTGGTACCATAGAATCATAGAATGGTTAGAGTTGGAAGGGACCTTAAAGATCATTGAGTTCCAACGTCCCTGCCATAGACAGGGACACCTCCCACTAGACCAGGTTGCTCAAAGCCCCATCCAACCTGGCTTTGAACACTTCTGGGGATGGGTCATCTGCAACTTCTCTGGGCAACCTGTTCCAGTGACTCACCATCTTCATAGTAAAGAATTTCTTCCTAAAATCTAACCTAAATCTACCCTCTTCCCATTTACAACCATTACCCCTTGTCCTATCACTACAGTCCCCAGTAGAGTCCCTCCCCAGCTCTCCTGTAGGCCCACTTTAGTTACTGGAAGGCTGCAATAAGGTCTCCCCGGAGCCTTCTGTTCTTCAGGCTGAATAACTCCAACTCTCTCAACCTGTCTTCATAGGAGAGGTTCTCCAGCCCTCTGATCATCTTCATGGCCCTCCTCTGGACCTGCTGCCAAAAGGTCCATGTCCTTCTTATGTTGGGGGCTCCACAGGTGAATGCAGTATTCCAGGTGGGGTCTCACCAGCGTGAAGTAGAGGGGCAGAATCACCTCTCTTGTCCTGCTGGCCATGCTTCTGTTGATGCAGTCCAAAGCAGCAGAGTGCATTTGCCATTTGCACCTTTTTTTTTTTTTTTTTTTTTTTTTCCCCTGTTATTATGTTTTGGGGACACCACCAGGATTCAGCCACGGGAGTCTGTGGGAACGGGACCCTTTTTTGCTGGGGGGGGG